GTGTCATTCTGCGTACGCTTTGGCTCAACCGCAACAAGGCAATTTTTGACGCCCCCCCGTTACAGTTCACAGGAGTCTACCGTCAAGTGTTAGTGATGGTTCGCCTTTACTTTCAGCTTCTGTACAAGAAATTGACTAACCCACAGAAGCATGACATTCAAGACTCAAGATCCAACTTTCAGCATTTAGTGCGCAATGGTATCAAGACTTCGATGTCGATCCATTTCATCTTCTTGCAGAATAAACCGGACGTGACAACAATGCAAGTCCCAACTTTGCTTCTTTCTGCTCGACTTTACCATTAAGTTACCGAAGGATCAAGTTGCAACTTCACTCAAGTCAACCATGCCTTTTCCTACATAGCGGATGGTGTCTGCCATTTGTAGACACCGTATATCGACATATCAAGATGCGCCTTCATACTAGTCATCAATGCGCCCTCCCAAACGCTGGGTATTTCTCCCACAAGCTACTGTCGACAATTCAGGTTATTGTATTACGGTGTGTTATCCCCTTAGCTATATTTCCTAATTAGTACTACACAATTAAGACGCAGTATAATGATACGTATTAACCAGATTATTGTATACACAGAGGAGCCAAATAAATGATCACTTTACCCATTTGGTCCATACATTTCCTTAAAGATTGATCAAAGTAGCGGTCTTAGCAACTTAACGAGCTCTGACCGTCTCCTGTGACTTGGATGTTATGCTGTTCACGCGCTGAGTAACCATCGCTTGAGGAAGTGTATAAAGTTTGACCCTCCACACTGACAGGTTTGGTCCCATGTCATGCATCAGCACGATATAAATCCACTAGAAACTCATTTCAGCTATGTGCATTATATAACGAAGTGGCATTTGGTGACGAGATATGCTTTGAAGATACGTCATACCTTCCTATTGCAGTAAAAATGTTACAACATACCATATTAAGGAAATTTACAGCAAAAGCTTGCAAAAGTAGTAGTATCTATACTTCGTTCCATTGGTCCACGCAATTTTTTTTTAATGTAAGACAGAACCCCTTTCTTGCAACAATATATGCTATGCTGATATTGGTTAAAATTGATTTGCAGTTCTTACAGAAGTTTCAAATGAAATTTTCACGCTGATACAGGTACCTTGCAATAATCCTCTTACAGTAAAAAAAACGGTCCAGCCAGGTACAGGATTAAGGTAGAAGAAATTTTACGGGCGATTATGCAAACTTCCTGCTAATCGCGAGAGAAATTCACGTGGCGGGCGAGGTGGGAAGCAAAAAAGACACCAACCGTACTATCGTCTTCCGTGGTTGCGAACGCTTACAACCCGCTTGAACGCTGCACTGAATCTAAGAATGTGGTGAAAACGAAGACGGCACTAGCATAGATGTTGATGCATCATAGCTTCGGCAATTCAATGTCGCAGGTATTGCGACAAACACTATCACCTCATACTTTATTTCATACTTTATTTGAGTTAATTAATTTGCGGCTGCCATGTACTACTTGTTGTAATATTTGTTTAGTTTTATGATGCTGTGTATGTTTTTCTTAACAAAAGTTCTGTTTTCTTAGCTTCAATAGCTCAGTATACTCGTCGACTACAACCTCAACCCGGGGTCTCAAATACAGCTGTGATATTGGAAAAACTCGCATTTTCGTCTGGACTCCATATTAAGTGAGCTTTTGTTTCGCTGGTATTCTGATCATTTCCTCGGCCTTCTTTCCTTTGACAGCGTCGATCTGGATTAAATTTTGATTTAGATATGAAATCTAGACTTGAAATTTGTTCGTATCACAATTTACAACATTGGTTTACGGCAGCTAAATGCGAAAAAAATCGAAATCTAAGCAAGTGGCCACAGAAATGCGAGCTCGTTCCGTGAGATGGGCTGGAGGGTACAGTGCTACAATGCTCACATTAGCGACATAGACAAAACCATTAAAGATTACGTCATGTGGTCAGAAACCTGATTAATAAATAAGCATTTCTTGCGCTGACAGTAATCTCGACTTGCTGGATTTCCGACAGTGTATTAAGCCATCAAATTCGACTCAAAAAGGCGTTCAAAGGCGAAATCTTCACGCTTTGACATGATTGTATGGTAAATAGTATACCTACATTTCCTGTTTACGCTACTTTCGATATATATTCAAATAAAAGTGGATTATACAAAGTACTGCGTTAATAAACAGACATGCCAAACTATATGATGGACATAGGTGATAGGGACGAGGTTGAGTGGATAACCGCGGGTACATACGCAGTACATTGCACATGATTCTTACCCTCGCAGCACGGCATTTGGATAGGCAACACATAGATTCGGCATACAGCAAGATTCCAGTGGTGAATTCTCATTCATTCTTGAAACTACTTACAACTAGAAGGCCATCGCTCTAGCGTCAAGAAAACTTGTTTTCATGCGAGCCAGTAGCTTAATCTCTTTGGCAATCGCCCTTGTGACGTCACATGTGCGTGGAGCGCCAAGTACGTCAACTCGCAAACTCGAGCCCATGCCACAAGGCGAAGAGGATGCCCTTAAAGAGATTGAAAGCTTTTTGGGGAAGAAGCTTGAGAGAGAGCTGACAAAACTCACTTATTGGGGTAAACGCGACCCGGAACCATGGAACGGTCCGTTGTGGGACACGTGTTCCGATAGTATTAACCTTGAGTGGAGAAACGATGTCTCTCCTTCTGCCAAGTACGCGCTAGCCTTTGGGTTGAACGTGGAGGAATTCATGGATAAAGTATCGGCCAAGTTTGGCATCGATTCGATGAAGAGTCAGAGCACTGAGTGTACGTCCGAGTGCTTAAATCATGGGGATGTTTGCTCCTTTCGTAAGAACTCGCATGTAGGATATTGCATTTCGCAATGGAGCAGTCTCTCTCAAGGAGTGGCACAGGCTGCTATGCTCGAGCAAGAACCTCTTTGCCCTGTAACTGTCAACAATGTGACATTTCATCCGAATGACATCAAGGGATTGATTTCAATTGTTTATGCTGAGGCCAACGTCCCTACGATTTTTGGTGGACGATACTTTGACGGTCAAAAGCAAACATTTGATAAGAATGGTCGATCTTCTGCACCTGAGTATCGTGACGTGACCCCCTCGTTTTTTCATATCGTTGCTGCCAACCTTCTCGGAAACATGAATCAAGCTTTCATTTTTGACTGGTATACTGGTGAAAGTATCCAACATCAGGCCGTATCTGGATTTGATGTGTATTTGGAGAGTCCCATGACATTGCAAGATGCTGCGCGAAAATTCTTCAATTCGACGTCGTACACTTACAATGGAAAGGCAACTGAAGTTGTTCACGTAAGTTCCAGTCTAAGCTGGAGCGATAAGGCGGTTGAGACTGACCCAAATCGTCCATTGACTGTTGCCGCCTCCTCTAGTGTAAAGCTCAGCTACCTTTTAGAGGTTAACAAGAAAGGAGATGCAATCGGAGGCGAGTGGGTGGGTGAATCACTATACCAACATCCTGACGTCATTATCCTCCCGAAAAGCAAACCAGCTGCTGACTTTGTATCCAGCATTGGCGTGAGTTATGCTAACGTTCTGACGCTGATCGAAAAGTCGGCAGCGTGCTCTGATTCAGCAACTCAAACCGTTGTCAATTGATTTATTGTCAGTTAAAGCGGACATTGTGAATAAAAGTTTTTTTTGATCGTCTTGCCTTCAAAATGCGTATCAAATGAATTTTGAGATAATAAATAACTCATACGTAAATAAATTAGTAATCCACTCATTTCAATTTCTCCTGTAAAAATCATATTTAGTAGAAAAAAAGAGTAAGATTAGTGATAGAAGCAAATATGCAAATATACTTGCTTAAATAGCGGTACATCGGCTCCAAAAATCTGCAATATACGCACACAATTGGCATCCATGTAAGAGCAGTCGGCGGCCCATGGGTATACTTACAGCATAAAATACATTACATTCACCTTGATAGCCATAATGCCTCAAGGCGATCACGCTGCATGAAATCGGAGCATGTGCGAGCAAGAACAACTGCGCAGAATTGCAAAACATTTAAAGTAGATTTGCGCCAATCAAAACTGCTGAATTACAATGCGTATTCCAGCGAAAACACCATCACGACAGGGTGTCTGCACTAGCAAAACAGGCGTATCGAGTGCGTCTGAAATTCTTACAGGTAGGCAAGAACCAGCGGAAAATGCCCAGGGGTCAAGATCGTACAACCGAAAAGCGCCAGACTCTCTCTTGGAGGCGGTGACGCTTTGCATCTTCTTTGAGGGTATCCAAACTGGTGCGGCTCGCATTGAGACCATGAGCGTCCACTTTACCTTTTCAACAAAGCGGTGGGAGCTGCATCCTATGTGGAGCACAACACTGGTGCAGCGAGTGCAAGATGAGGCGGTGAATCTACGAATGCACCAGAAGCAACAAACGTCAGACATACTGAGGAGATATAGTGATCTCTAAGCTGCTGAACACTTGCAAATGCTTCATCTGTGATAGTGCAACACGTTCACATCTCACATGCCCTTCACGCCCTTGGCTGATGTAATAGGCTAGACTTAGCCATTATATGAAGGTACTATATGTATCCATTGCATGCATTGTAAGAATTTATACCAAAAGCGATAACACTATGGTGCCCCCATATGCATATATGACATCTTATATGAAGTCACAAGTATTGTGTGTGATACAGAATGCCGATTCCTACTTTAATATTTGTACTGGTGACGAGACCGACGTGTCTCTGTCTTTTGAAGTGGGTGGCGTAAGTCAGTCACTGGGAGTTCAAGCTTTCCGAAGTTCAAGATCCATATACTCAGGATCTTGTACAAACTTTAGCTGAGGTTCATTCCCAATACATTTTTTGATTCATAAATCAGTTCATAGGAGCCCAAGTTTCTATCAGCAAAACCTCAAGAAGTCCTCGTTTTTTTATGCAGCACTGGAAACTATTAACTCATCTTACACTACTTACAAATCTTCCTTTACGCCCTCAAGAGTTTTTTTTCTCCAAGTAGGTGCTATCCTTCATCTCTACATCGGTAATCACTTTTTCGTCGTACAGGGGTGTGTTGTGTTTGAGTGGCTGTCGTGAACAGCGCCTTTTTGCAGCTGAAAAGTACGAAGGGTTGGGCACCCCGTACGTCAAGCTAAATCTGGGATTTGCTGTTACAGGTCAAGTTTAACGGGACTTCGCTTTCAGAAAGGGGCCTTCTTAGGTAGGTGAAGCTCACAATTGCAGGCTTCTTAATTACTAATATTAACGTCATGGGCTTGTGAAGCCGCGAGAATTCCAGAACGGTCGTGCAATTAAGTGTGCCGCACAATGGTCAATAACAGTAGGCAGTGTGCAGAGGCAACGAAGATGTCAAGTACGGTATGATGAATGTGTGCTTTGCGACGGGGGAAATGGTGAAAGTGTCGATCATTGCATTGAGTCTGCAAGCGATTTCCTAAGACTCGACAGCGAAAAAAACATTGGTCAGTTTTGGACCTAGGTGCGATATACAGTCATAATCTAGGGATGGCACGGCTAAAGCACCACAAAACATGGGTCGATTTGAAGCCGAAAAGGTTGGGTACCATGCACTTCTCCACAGGTGAAGCCTGGTGGTGCGTCATGAGCTGGCCTTTGCTAGAAAACAGAAGCGCTTTTGACGCGGTAGCAAAGCTGCGATAGCTTTCGTGCAGGACATTGGTGTGTCCGAAATCGAAAGCAAAAATATTGCTAGTTATCTCGAGCAGAGCTCGGAAAGCAGAAAAAGCAGTAAGTTGAGGTCTCGGGATGAGTCGGAAACAAGCGATTGTTTACCATGGCCTTCAGAGTGTATTTTTTAAATCGGCAAGAAGTGATAGTTGTCGTGATTATAGTAGAATACCCTTGACAGGACGGCAAAGCATAGATGGGAGCTGTTGCTAAGGTCAATGGAGAGTGGAAGCAACTGGTTTCACAATCTCCCGTGCGAGAGCCGGTGGAGCTGGAGGGTAACTGTAAGTCAATTGGAAGGGATATGCCTTGAGGATAAAAAGAGCGTCACGATGTGACGGTACTGCTGAGTCAGACTACTGTGGTATGGCCACCACGTAGAGCAGGGAAGTTTTTGAGCAAGTGGTGAGAAAGATTACTTATTTTCAAGTGAACATACAGGGGTAGCTCGAGCTGTAAGTCTTCTCTCACCACTACCGATAGTAGCTATTATCAAGCTGAGGAACGATCCTTCCGAAAAATGTGAAAAATATGCAAAGAGGTGAGGTCACCAGAATGATACAGTTGGTACCATCCATCATAAATGAATCTGTCATTGAGAATGCTCACAGATCATTGAGTGCGAGGAGTGGAACAGCCATCCGCAAGTATCTTTCGGATCATTATTATGTTTTGTTGAACAAACATCTCAACATGGTGACAAGAACACAACCAAGCAAATTACCCCCAGATAGAGAAGTGCGTCTTAAATCAACTTGGCCTCCGGGGTCAAGTATTGCGTCGCACGGCAATATACTTAGCCAAGGAAGCGGTGTGTTGTCATCGACGCGTTCTTCGGTGCAAAGTGCAAAGCGGTTTTGGCTAAATTATGTAAGTTTGCACACTCGCCGCCAACCTTCTGTGTCTGATAGCTCCAAGGCAAGTGGCAAATTGTATATGTTTTTAAACTGGCTGAATGCAGTCACTTTTCAAAATTGTGATGCATAAAAGTGTCGGACGTTGTATCTTGCCAGTGCCTTTGACACACGTTGTATCTTGCCTGTGCATTTGACCTTTTGATGAGTAAGATCAATTAATTTTGAACCGAGTATCATCCCTTGTGCTGCGGTGTGTTCTCAAGCAGGAATATTTTGGTGTGGCTGATTATGTCAAAGAGACTATCGAACGCACCGGCAGTGCTCATTCGTTTATGCAGTGTCTCTTTTTCAAAGGGATTCGATAAAGTTGCTTGATCTACCCAACCACTATCTTAACGTCGAAGGATTTTTAATATATCTTTTTTCAAATACAACTTCTAGAGCTCCTGTAATATTAACAGCATCGGAAATCTTATGATTTTGAGCAATACAATCTAATGTTTTAGCCACACATTGAGTCAGAGGTTGTTCAGACACACATACAAACGCAAGAATAAAGTGAAATCTGCCTCAAAAACGTCTTGCTTCTCGTTCTTAGCAACAGAACACCTGTTGTACGTATTGCCTCGTCAATAAGCGACGTCAACATTGCAACTTACGAAAATTTATAGCTGAAGTGTTACGAAAGCTCATATGCTACAACATCAAGCCAACACAGTAGTTTCCTTACAATGGTATACTCGGCAAAGAAGAAGAATCATCTTGCCAATCTCTGTTAGTAATGTGTTTACGACGTCGCTGTGCATAACATCGCATCATAGGCATAGATCACAAACAATTTAGAGCCAAGCACGGTATTCTTAATTTGACAAAGGCAAACTTTCTAGCAAGGTGTTCCATGTCTTGAACAGAATACTCCCTCCTTTCTGCTTTAAACTGACAACACTTGATGCGATGACGCATACATGCTTATTGAGTTATTTCTTAATCGTATTTACTGCAAAGGCCGACGCTTTATAAACGCCGTAAAACAGCCGATCATCATTCTATAGGGCCCGACTTGGGACACTAATGTTGCATAATATAGACCCCGCCTTTTCAGTCGCAGCATAAGTGCAGAGGAACTGCCGTAGCTCGTTGCTTAGAGAAGGAGGCTTACTAAGGTCATCGACCTTACGTTCTATACTAGGGATCAGTACGAGTGTAGCGGATGTAGAGACACGTACTGCATTATTCAGCGTCAAGTAAGTTATTGGAAGTTTTGAGCTCCAGCACCTCAATCTCTCTGCCCAAGTACTGTGAAACAGTATTTATCCATCGCTGAAAGCGCTCCAATTTACAATCTCTTTATGGGTCGATAGCGGTTTGCATGACCAGTTGGTGCGTAAAAATTTAAGCAGAAATTCACACTGACTTCTTGTAACGTGCATGCTCCGATTCAGATCAAATGGCCTCTGTCAGCGTTCTCCTCTGTAGAAGTACGACCTGGCTGTATTCGTACCGATCACACTATCCCTGACAGCGGTTAGATGAACCATTATGCTCAGGGTGTACTCGAAGAGCACAGTGTCCACATTATCGAGCTCGCCTTTTGGAAGACCAAAAGTAAACCAGGAATAAATTATCAAAAATGTTCTGCCGAATTAGGCAGACTAATCAAAGACTCAGATGTAGCGGCAATTTGTTTAACACGCGCGGACTTCAGATGACCACTCTGTGTTCCGCTCTGAGCAATACTTATGCTGCTGAGGTGGCCACCAAAAAGGTACTATATGCCTCATACGTTATCGTCATTACGAGGCATTGCCACTTGAATGTACCGTCAACATTTTGCTGCTTAGGTATGTTGCGTCCGAAACAGCTGTTCCACAAGACTATTGCCGGATCAGAAACATAAACACCCACTCCCATAGCAGCCGCCCGGAATACCTTCAGCAGTAAGAGAGGCGTAGTCCCCCTTGATGCGCAGCTGATTCTGCTTTTTGACAGGCCAAGAGCGATGTTCAGAAAGAATTGACCATATTTTCCTGTAGCACAGTCTTTCAAAAAGTTGCATTTGCGTTTAAAAAGAATATGTCTACAATATAATATTTACTGTTAACCTTTCTAACACAGAAATTCGGCACCGACAGGGAATAATTTACTCCCCAGGCCCTCTTGGAGCTTTGTCTGTAGGATAGCGTTGATGTATCCACGCTGTTTCCTCCGTAAGAGCCAGTGTCTTGTGTCCAAATATTTGTCTATACATACCAGGTCACTCTCACATTCCACGTTCTCATCCGGGTGTTAGAACCTGAGGCGGGGTATTTTGTCGTTAAGTTGTCACATCACCCATTCTCGTGACGCGAATGTTGTTTCCCGACTCCACCACTACTCGAAAGAGGTGGAATGGACGCGGTAGATCTCAGGCCAAGCAGCACTTATATTGAGACCTTTCCTGAAGACGGCGTCCCAGAAGAGACGAATAGAAGGTCTTCAGCCATTGCGATAATGAGGACGCTCAACATTCGGATCTAGCTCACAATTTTTTGCCTCACTTACCTGGTGGACAGGAATATTGAGTGCATCCGACATTCCCGGTTAAGCACTACGAAAATCAGTGACTTTTATCGCTATAACACTTCTGACGTCCTACATGTCCCGTCAACAGAAATCTACATGCAAGTCCAATTTTGATCTTAACTCAAAAACCAGCGCGGCACGCTGTTGCTTCATCTAAGACATTTTCAAATGTATGGCTATACTAATCAACGCTAGCGCCCCTTCTCGGCCGCAACCTCGTAGCTCGGTGATTACTAATATGACGGACTGTTGTTTCGTCTAAAGAAGAATCGGTTATGGTCATTTTAATATGTTATACCCAGAGATATAAGGCTAGACGCTCAATAACATTTGGATTTTTTTGTGTAGTCATATCAGAGCCGGTGCTTCCACAGGCGTTCCTGCGAGTAATTCATATAAGAATTTCTAGCTCTTAACCACCACTAATCGACATCGCGTTAGCCCCCTCGGGTCAGTCAGAGCTAGAGTATTTAAGTTTGCCCTGTTGTTCCGCAAACACACACGAAACACCCGTATGTCATGCTAACGGAGGCAACAGTGTCTCCTTTCGGTGTTCATCAATACTGATATGATGGTGCTAATTGAGTGTGTAACGTGAATTTCGTACAATTGTGCCGTATAGTAATTTTGACCATTGCCCCAAACTTAAGGTACAATTACACAAGATTTCACTTATTCAAGTGATAGTGTTGAGGTGGCCTTACACCCAAATGTATGGGCCACACTAGAGGAAGTTTCCAGACCTGTTAAACCTGTTACTATACACAGTAGGTTTTCAGCTACTTTAATTTTATCGTCGTCATTCACATTGATTTTTTAGCTCGTTTGCTCACTGATGCGAGACTCATAGAGCTCGAAATTTAGCTCAAATTAAGCCTGGTCCTGGCGGGCAAATAAGCTGAAAAGTTATAGTCTGGTCTACTCATACAACCCAGCGAAAGTAGTTTTTCTCCTCGAGCGTCTGTGTTGACGTTTAAGCAAGGATAGCAAGCGAATCCGCTAGCCACCTTAACTGTTGTGCCCGACAGACAATTCATAAAACAATAAAGACGTCAATTTACATCTCCCTTTACCAGAGCTATAGCATATGACTACATCTAGTAATAAACATCTGTCCGTGCGTTACCGCTTATTGGTAGAGCTGCAATATTTTGATGTGGAGATGATGTCATATATGTTCCAAGAACCTTTGAAGCTTGCAATACCGCAACTGCCTAATCATGCTCCATTTGTAAACGTCTCGACTTAAATCCTAAGTTGATGTACCTACCCCAGGCCTAGTATCATATTTTTCTGTGCACACACTGATGCATTACACACTCGTCTTAGTGTAACGTAACCAAGTATTATACATCAACCTAAACACTTTCATTGTTCAAAGAAAAGCACAGTCTACTAACCCTTTTAGCCAGCCAAACAGGAGTCAGAACGAACGCTCAATTTGTCACTCTTCTATACGACCTCACGAAGGGAAAGACTCTCATTGTGTCATGGCTCGCGGTTTCTCACTGTCGCGCGGGCCGGCGCAACCCGTGGCAACCCCCACCAGTAATGAGCAACTAAATTCTGCTCGCGTCTGGACGCCGCTGCGTGAAAACCATTTTGAGCCGCCTCTACTGTCATCGCGCGAGCGCGCTTACCTCGTGCGCAAGTCGTGCGAGGCGTCTCTGGAGCTCGTTGGACGCACACGCAGTACTGGTGGGCCCGTTGCGTGGCGTCATATTGAAAAGAACAGTGGTGTTCAGATCTACTCGGGTACTTTGCGCACCACAGCGACTGACGCTGCGCTTACAGCCACCATAATGTGTGGTGTTACTAGTGTACCAGGCACTGTCACGGAGGTGGCATCGCTCTTTCAATTGGGTTCAACACGTCAGATGAAGGAATTTGCTCGAGCTCATCGAGAGTGGTTCTATGACGGTGTTCTGCTGCATACATTGGCTCCACGAACAAAGGAGAAACCATTGCATCAAGTGACGGCCAAATGGACGGTCATGCAAATGCCACAAGGCTTGGCACACCGTGACTTTTGTTTTTTAGAATGTCAAGACAAATTTATTGATTCAAAAGGACGAAAAGGGTGGGTCTTGGGGCAGCATTCGATTAAATTACCAGGTTGTGATGATCTAAAGAGAGAGTTTGGGTTCATACGTGGCAGTATGTACCACTCAGGTTTTGTTGTTGTAGAAAGTGAGGAACGAGCTGGACATGTGGATGTGATTCACTTAGTGCAATTGAATCTTAAGGATCACACGCCAGTGTCTGCGAATTTGCTACGTGCAAGAGTGATGTTTGTTGCGCAGGTGCGCAATATGCTGCGCAGCAAACGTTTGAATGAGCAGCGCTACCTAAGCGACCTGGAACTTGTGCCGCGGAAGTATCGAGCCAGATGTGCAGTGTGTCAAGACTCGTTCTCGCTCTTGCTTTTAAGAAAACTAAACTGTAGAAAGTGTGGTGAAGTAGTCTGTGCTGCGTGCAGCAAGGAGTTTCCAATTGAAAATCGGAATTTTGCCTCGACCAACGGTCAAGATGAGGTGCGCAAACTGCGTATTTGTATGCATTGCTTTCAATCGATTACCAACGCTCCCAAGCCGACATCAGCCCTGGTGGAACCACCACATTCATCGACCATGTCGATGAGTTTCTTGGGTTACCGTGACGACGAACAGCAAGCTTCATTAATGACGTTGCCGGCAAATGGTCATCAAAGTCATCAAAGAGAGGAACAAATGAAGATTTACATGCAGTCAATGCGCCGTGATAAGCCCTCGCGTCATCGCATGTCTAGTACGTTGCCGATTCCTGACTTCGGTGAGGATGTCTTGCCATCAAATTCGCGTCATCGTACACGAGGAGGACCAGATGGGGAGTGGTACCGGGGATCGCAGCAGCAGTACCAAAAGCAACAGCTAAATAGCAGCTTTTCTCTTGATTATCGTGATAACGAACGATTGCGGTCATCCAACTTCCGACCAAACCAAAGCCTGTCATTAGATGACCCCATTGCTAGAGGTGAAGGACCCTACGCGATGCAAAGGCCAGGACCAGCAGTCCCTACGTCTATTTTCGATCGTCCGAACAGCGAAGATAATCGACGTACTCACAGCGTCATGCCACGCAGTCGCAGCACTGACATGTTACTAGGAGCAAGTGAACACAATATGAGCAACTTTAGTCGACTGCAAGTCCTGAGTAGCCGAGAAAGACTTAAGCAACTTCAGCTTGAAGATAACATGATGTTAAATAGCGACCACCGCATGCCAGATGCTTACATGTCTGCGTTGGAGCAGGCAAGTCGTGACAAACTAGACTTTGATGCACCACCTGCAATGTACCATGCTCCATCTAGCGAATTGAGCGCATATAACGCCTCGTTACAGGATCACTCGGTGATCCCAACTGACTTTGGGCCGTATGATCTAGCAGTGGACAACCAAAATGGCCCGCCACCACTAGGCTTAAGTGCACTGACGTCAAATAGCCCATTCGATTATGATAATTCGGCCGCGATGCCGCCAACGGCTCCTAGATATGGTGATCATGAACGAGATCTTCTACGTCGACGCGAACGCGAAATTAGACTGCGCCGTCAATCAGCAAGCTCGGACTCTTCTGCATTTTCCATCGACATTGACTCGTACGACGACTCAGTGAGTTTTCCTCTGGCTCAACCAATTGCAGAGAATTTTAAGTCACAGGATGAAAGTGGTGAACGTATGATGTACAACACTCCGCCATTTGATATACCAAATGTTGCAACTTCAATTAGCAAGTTAATGAAAGAGACTTATGTTCGCGAGGTTGATGAGGACTCGGAGACATCGATGGGTGCGTCGGACGACGAAGAAGACGATGGTAACAGTGCCAAGCTTAATTCCTTACTTCCCTCTTCTTTTGACGATGATGCTCAGGAATCAAAGGGCCACGGATTGGATCAAACTTTGGCGTTACCGTCCATGTTTTCGTCAGCTCAAAAGCCCCCAAGCAATGGTTACGAGCGCCCGGATCTGTCTGCTGCCTCAAATGAGATCAAGGTGCCCGTGAAAAAAAAGAAACATCCGTCCCCGATCAAGGCTAAAAGCAATTTTACTGCAAAAGAAAAGCAGCTGCAACGGTCCAATGTAAAAGATATCACTAATAATGTGTACCACCGAGAGTTTCAAGTCGGAAAACGCGCCGAGCAGATGTCTCAAAACGCGCAAGGACGCCATGATGGTGCTGGAGAGGCTGCATTGCGCAGTGATGCTATTTTTTTCAAGCACGAACAGCAGATTTCTGAAACTGAAGATGGCTTTGATTCCAGTTTTGTTGACCGCGATATTAATTATCCTCAGCCAAATATGCGGCAGCTGGACAGCGAATCCTCTAATATCAACAGGTTACAGACCTGCGATGGCGCACCTGAAGTTCAAGAAAAACACGGCGTGTCCGCATTTTCAGCGATTCGAAAAGCCCCACCTACTATTTCAAACAAATCTAAGAACGAAGTGTTGCCTTCGTCCGAGCACTTACGATTGTCTTTCAGGGAAGAGCATCATGATCGTACTCAAGCATGCGAGAATACGACATCAATGTCTGACAATGCTGCAGATGGAAACCAGCAAATCTGTGTTGATAACAGCAGCCTGCGCGCATCTAATGAAATGTCGCTTTCGTCAGTCCTTCAAAGCAGTGCACGTGGCAGCAGTATTTGTAGCTTGGGGCTAGATTCGTTTACGCCTCCTGCAATCCCCTCTTCATCGCCATTTTCCAATCACAGCTTTTCGACCTCACCTACTGCTGTTACCAGTCAAAAGCTCGCAGCAAATAGTCGAAGCACCAACTCTGAGGGGTCAACTCTATCGCAGAGCGACGGCACCTCGTCGCCGTCTCTTCCTGGTCGTTTCAGCACGTTAGAGCAGCTCCATATAGAACAGCGTATGGAGGCAGGTCCCCCAACCATCGCAGGCAAAGGGACAACTCAGACAATCGTCAGCTAGATGCCATGGAATGTTTAAAGTTCATCAAGATAAAAAAATCACACGCAGAGGGAGCAATAAAAGACTTGCGGATTTCTGATAAGCGCAGCTACACAACAACTGCCAACAGCAAAGAAAAAATCGCGCATAATCCGGCAGTAAGCATTTGAATTATCGTCGACGACAAGGCATGATGAGGACAAAGCGGATGAGAGATGAAAGTTTGCCGTTTTAAGACATCGTGTAAAGTAGCGTCGCCAGTACACATCAAGCCTGTGACCACTTTGGATTTTCGGTCATATCACTTTGATGTTTTGTCGGTAACAGCTGTATTGATAATCAGCGACAAAGTCCTGACCATTAGCGTTATGAGATCGGACCATAAGAGTGGCCGCCATATACAAACATACATCAGTGTTGCATTTAATAAAAAGTCATGCCCTGTCCAGATCCGTTAAAACGTTATGCTTTCGGTAGCTAAATCGCAATGTGATTTACGACATCTAAAAAAATCTAATTGCCGATCATTTTCTGATCTATATCATTACAGTGTGGAAGTCGGCGACGGCTAGAGCAAAAGCGCATGAAAATCACCGTTAATACATCTCGAAGCTCAATGAGGTTTTAGCTGTAGGTTGTCAATGATTTAGATACCAAATTGAGATTTAAAGCCTCTAACGCCAAGACTGTTGATGAAGCAGTGCACGACATAATTGATTATGTGTGCCATAGTGAAAATGTCGTCAGATAATTTCGCGTTATTGTAATCTTGGGTGAAAAGTGTCGTGAATGTTCTATCGCTTGATTTAATGCTATTGACATCAACAGTGACGTTGATATCCATCGTGTTGCGTCACAAAACTGAACTATTCAGAACCGTCAGAAAATTCATGCCATAGTGGCCAGCTGGAGAGCCATAGTTACTCAACTCATGGCTCGAATCTTCGAGAGCTGCACATTTTTTAGGCATAGCGCAAAAGACAAACATCAGCGCGTTGAGTTTTCTTCCCATTCCACATAAAAGCTGGAAGCCAGAGATTTGTTGGTTACCCTTTTCATGTGTATCTACGATCGTTTCACACCTTTTACTACTAGTAACCAATAATCGGTGCTTTATCGTTGCTGCATTTGTTTTGATACCTGCACCCTTGGTCAATTTTACACTTAATGATAAACAAATGCCAAGATCGGCATTTTTAAGAATATCCATGTGTGGGAAGCTTCGTTTAAATGTTGCGTGCAGCAGTGACATTCCAGACAGTTATAAAATTGTATCGCTGAACGGTACATACGCTCATCATGGCTCAGCCAATTTCTGTGCCATCAATAAAAACCATTAGCTTTTGACTGACAGTCGAGTACTTATTGCTTCTTACCTGTCGCAACGTTTCAATCAGTTGCTGTCGTTGAGCCAAAATTCTCTTCTTTTTGTTATGAGCGGCAACAGATTGTTTCACTGCTTCTTGCCACCGTTCATGGGTTCGTTGCCTCTCCTCCTCGTTCCTCATCTGCTCCAATTCCTCGTGCTCCGATGTCCACTGAGCCTCTTCCTTATTTGTATTAAGTACATTAGTTGAAACATTCAAGGGAAATATGCTACTCACATTTGCTAAGATTTCTGAAGCAATGGCAGCAAAGAGTCGTCGCTTACGACGCTTTTGCAAATTTTTGCGCTTGGAGCGTGCCGACATAACGATTTTTTTTCACCTAGCAACGCGCATATAGTGGCGTACACTATGTATCATAATAGGATCAAAGCCGTTACGAACTCGTAGTTGAAGTCTTCATTCCCATTCCGCACTGAACGCGTGCAGACTGAGTCTTCATAGGGACATCAATACGCTTGCTTTCTCCGGCTCACGTTTATCGGAAAGAAGACCTTTTACCCTTGACTGTATATCTTACTCCTATCCGTTCAATTAGATTGCTAGACGTTCTTGTTCTGGTGGAAAGTAACCGCTCCGTAGGATAAGGTGCTCAATATGTTTGAGAAGGTAATTGAGTCAGTACTAGAAGAGTACGTGAGTGAATGGGTCGAAGGTCTTGAGTCCGAGAAGATGAAGGTGGCACTGTTTGCTGGAAAGGTCGAGTTTCGAGATTTAAGAATGCGCGGTGCCGCCTTGAACAAGTTTCAGCTGCCGATGAAAATGAAATCGGGTAGTGTGGGCAGGCTGAGCATTAAGGTTCCGTGGAAGAAACTGACCTCGCAAGCTATAACGATCAAGATTGACGATGTGCTTCTGGTTGTGGAACCCACTGACCCGGCTGAAGTAAAGACTCAAGAAGATGATGATGACTCGTACGCACTTCGTACTCGCTGGGCAAAACAGCAAGAGGTGAGGATGCTTGAGTTACTGGAAACGGCAAAGAATGATGGCAATCTACTGAACGCGAGCGAATACGAAGGAGATCCCGGTCTTGTCGATTCAGATCCAACGGCGTCCTGGAGCTATCGAAAAAAAATACTTAGCACCATTATTGATAATGTTTCGTTTGAGCTTTCCAACATTCACATTCGATACGAAGACTCAAAACACCTGGCGTCATCGATTCCTCTGGCGCTGGGTCTAATGATCGACTCAATTTTGATCATGACTACAAATGCTAATGGACAAGCGGCGTTTGTGGATCGCGCTCAAGCTCGCACTGCATTTGTGCACCGACGCTTGGATGTGGTACAGGCTAGTATCTACAGTGACCAACTAAAAGGAACAGAAATAAAAGTCGATAGATGTTTTACAGCCTCAGGATCGAATATCGTCCATCCCTTCAGTACTCATATCAATTTGGTGCGGAATCATGATGAACGATCAGCATCTGCGATCCCAGTGTTGCGGAGCTCGACGGAAATTAGTGCAATTAGAGCATATATTACCCCAGAGCAGAGTACTTTCCTGATTGATATCGCCAACTTTGTATCTGCCCACGAGATGTACTTAAAGCGTATACACTTTCAGCGAAAACGACCAAGTGTTTCTGTCCGCTCAAGCGCTAGACTTTGGTGGCGATATGCTTTGCGTGGCGTGATGGAGCTTCACAAAGGCAAAATTCCGGATAAACAAACAACAAGACTTAAATCGAGTAATAGCCTACCGCGTACGGCAAAACTTGTTACTTGTCGGTGTAACTGGAAACTTTTTGCGACATTATGGTGTGCTAGAAAGACGTATATTTATTTGTACAAGAACATGACCCGCGCCGCTAAAAAGAAAAAGCTAGATGTCGAGAGTTTGATGGCAGATCGAAATCGACTTAATGAGCTGGAGGACAGATTAGAGGTGTCAACAATTGTTTTCTTTCGATTGTGTGCTAAGAGAGAGCTTGAAATTGAAGGTCAAGGTCACGAATCACCACGAAAGTTATCACAATGGAAATCGAAATGGTCTGCAGGACGCACATCAAGTGGAAATCCCAGTAGCGGAATCTTGATTGGACGAGAAAATCTATTGGATAAGATGGAAATTTATTTGGCTGTGAACGCTCGAATGCATGCTTCATTCGAGGCTCGAACCTCTAGTTTTCATTGTGAGAGAAGTGCTGAGGCATTAAACTTGGCTTTGGATTTAGTCGTCACTAGCTTTGAGGTTGTCCTTGTAGAAAAGTATGAAAATGGTGACAAGATAGACACGCGAGACTTCCTGAAATTTGAGCTTACCGAGTTTGTCATGACAATTCTTCATAGAACAAATTCTTCTGCCGTATCCTCACGCATCACATCTGTTCAGATTCTCGATTTCCGCCGAACTTATGAGCCTACGTCGTTAGAAAAGAAGAAGCCACAAGCACTTCTATCCATGATTGAAAAAAAATCTGCTAAAGGCCAAGTTGTGGCGCGCAGAAATCCTTTTTTCGAGCTTAACATTGAATTTTCTGAAAGCAAATTTCAACTTGAATGTGTGTTTGAGCGGTTTTGCTATATCCACAATTTATACGCAACATCAAAGCTTCGTGCATACTTTATCAAAAAAAAGTGCGATGCCGAAGAACCTGCCTCTACAAATACGGAATCAGTATCACCACCAAAGCTGACCAGGAAAGCAGCCGGGCTTCCGAGTGACTTGCTACAAAGCAAATCGGTTGGAGATATGTTTGAGGCTCACAAAACTGCGAAATTGAGTCAAAGTAGCTCAAAAGCACGAGCCATTTTCGCAAGAGAAGTATTTTTTTTGGTGAAATTACCCGAAATTGATATCATTGTTCATACAGCGGACATCGCAGCAGAAGTCGAAATCAGACTGCTTGGAACGCATCTTCAGAATGGTGCCGCGCATAACACATTCGAGTTATTGATCGAAAGTGCTGAAACGAATTTTTTGGACCCATTTTCCTTAAGCGATGATTGTAAAAACGACAAGAGCTGCTTTGATGAGGCTACAAATCGGAAGCGCTCGACAATGATGAAACGTTCTAGCCTGACATTCTATGGTCAAAAGATTTCAGAGGGCTACTGGATACCAAAGTGGGAAATGAAATGCACGTCACCTCCTGTCCATCTTACAATGTCTGATAAGCAATGTCAGCAACTCTTACTGGCATCAAAGGAATGGTATGGTCCTGCTTCAGAGTCAAGAAATGCTAAGGTCAGCAAAGCCGCTGAATTTGTTGCTGTTGACGAACGTCTCTCAATTGAAATTTCGATCCCTCAAATATTGATTGACTTCAATTGTGACTCCTCTATTCATGAATCACTGAAATTAGCATCAATAATGTCGGAAGAACTTACTGGATTTCAACTAATTATGCAAGACATAAATGTGGCAGCCAGGTTTTCATCAGTTGCTCAAGCAGCTGCCGTCGAGATGAACGCACTTTCATTCGTCAAAAGTGGGAGGCAAAAATTAGAACATGGCAAGGCGGATGCTACTAACTTAAATTGCGCTTGTCCAGACGAGTCAGAAAAGTCAAGTCATGACATCCCTGAAATAAGCGCTACACACACTCCCGCTTCCGCGTACGACCCATTGACAGGGTGTCTAGTTAGCAAGCTGGTGGAGCTAAATGGAAAAACGAGTCTCGAGGTGTCCAGTTTCGAGCCGTTGGTGGTAGGATTAAATGTTGAGCAAGTAGCGCTGTACTGGGATCATGACTTGCTGGTTGCTATCGCTAGTTATCACTTTGCCAATCATAATGGTGAAAATTCTAACTCTACAGTTTTTCCATCTCTAGTCTCAGTAAACACTAAAGCTGAATCTGCATCTTGTTTTGGCTGTCAAGTCCGTGTTCAGCGCTGGTTCACATATTTCATGCCGAAAGTATGTCGACATGAACATATTTCTTTTGCTTTGTGTGGAACGAACCTCCGCGGGAACATTTCAACCGTTGACACAAATTACGTACATGCTGACTTAAGCAGCTTAGGCCATATTCAGCTGACATCGTCTCGATTGAATCAATGCGAGTCTACACTTTCAAACGAGGATGAAAAAAGTCTGAGTGAGATTTTCGCGGAAGAGAAGCATGTACTTTTGCACGCACATGCGCCCATTCGAGTGATGCTAGAGTCTGCCGGTTTTGGATCATTGAAACATCGTGGCGGTGCTGGAAGTTTCTATCACATTGAAGTAAACGAAGTTCGGGTGATTTATATGCACTTGTACTGGACTCATTTTCTTAATCATATTACGAAAGAGATTGCTGGCTTTTTGCGGTGGATAGACTTGCTTAGAATGCCAGCCATGGTGCAATCTTTAAATGACCGATCGAAGCTGGAGCTGAGGATTTCTCATCTTACTTTTACACTGCCCACGTGTGAAGCAGCAGACGACCATACTTCACCGTCGGATAACGTTGAATTTAATCTGCATGACATCTCATCGGTATCGCGAGCCTATCCAGAAGATACATCGCAAGAACAATGCGGAATTCAGGTGAGGAGTGTGCGAGTCACTGCGAAGATGTCAGAATCAAAAAGGGTACACCGTGCAACTAACGAAAAGGAAAAGATTAAGCGTGATGTCTCAGTACAAACTTTTATTCTTGGAAATTTGCATGATGTCTTCATCGAACACGTAGCCATTCCTACTGATAAGATCAGTAAGTTTGACGCGTGTAACAAACCTGAACATTCAGTGTTAGATTTTGTGACAGTTTTGGAACATATGGAAAAAGTGCGCAGTCACACAACTGTGAGTTTGTCATCATTAATCAATTGGTCTATTGACAGTAATCTTGCAAGAAGCATAGAAGCAAATGGCTCTTGCGATTCAAGCATAAGCGAAACTACAACCACTTTGGCTTTCAATCCGTTCCAGCTCGAGCTGTTTTCACGCATTATAGACTACAACTTTGTAAGTCTTTCTAATTGTACATCTTGCAGCTTAAGCAATGCCGATGAATTAAAAATCAATGATATGATACTCAATCTCGGCAATTTGACTCTCGACATTCTAGATCCTTTTGATACGTCAATTGGAAAACCTAGTGAAAATATATCCTCAAGTGGCGTGAAGATCGCGCGCATTTGCCTTGAGGGAGTCCAGGTGGCAGTGGATGGATTTGCCTCTTTGCGATCTCAAGTACGCGCTAAAATATCTCAAGGTACATTATGGAAGATCGATTGTTCTGGAGATGAAATTTCGGCTGAGATTGCAAACGATATCAATTCTGAGATACACACTCTTTGCGGTTGTATTTTTTTGCCACCATCAGATAATATTCCAAGGCAGGGTATTGACATGACCTTAGATCGATGTGCTTCTTCACCTGAAGCGATCAATACACCCCCTGAAATTCGAATTCATCTTGATACCTGCGAGTTCTTGCCCGAAATTGTCGAATTCGGGCAAAGGCTCAGATACATTGCCTCGATTAAATCAGAGCTGTCGGGAAAAATTGAAGGCGAAGAAAACCCTCTAAATCTGTCAATTACGACTGGCATTGTCTACTACTTGGCTGCCGAATATGCTCCCGACGTATTTGACGAGAATGAAAATAAGGCCGAATTATCTCGCCAACCATATACCGACAAAAATACTTTAAAATTAATTGTCAGCGGATGCATCGTTATACGCTATCATAGCAATGACTCAGAGAGCTCTCAAACTCAAATTTACGGGCGTAATATGTCAGTGAAAGTAAGATCAGGGTGGCCACCGCTATCTTCAGTATCGTCGTTTTTGACGCCACATAGAAGCTCGCCTGTAAAAACTGAGGGAAAAATATCACCTCAGTCAAGATATGAGCGTACAATTTGTGATGACTTTACGATAGATGTGGAGCTGATCACTGCAGAAGACGCCGAGGCAACTATGGCCATTACTTTAACTCATCTTCATGTTGTCATTTGCACTATTGATCTCTTACTCTTCAATCAGGCCAAATTGGTGCTTGGAACGCTTGACGACGTTACTGAAAGTGTTGAAGATAAAAAAGATGTTCACGAGGACTCCGATGAAAAAGTCGTGGATTTAAAACATACCGAGAGGTCATTGGTGCCACCAGAAATCGAATTTCGCGAGGATAGTATCAGTATGGTTCAGCTACTGCTTGAAGATACCAGCGTTACACTTCTTCAGCAAAGTGGGCTGCATTTGTCTCCGGTTGCACGAGTCTATAACTTTCGAGCGATGTGCAAAGTGACCTATGAGGTGGGAGAAAGAGTTAACGGAGTTGTTCCGACATTGACGGAGTTAGCGGTGGAGTTTCCAGATGAGAGCTATAGCGAGCCAAATGTCGACGACGGAATCAGCGTTTGGGGATTTAACGCAGCACTGGGCTCATGGGAACCTATTGTGGAGCCATGGCTCTTCGATCTGAAAGGATCTTTGGTCCGTGATGAAACTGGAGAGGTGACCGCAAATGTTGATTTTATGGGAAAAGAAGGTCACTCTCTCAAAATCAACATATCACCGGCTATCATCAATTCAGTCTGTCAATCAGTAAAAGCTTACGAGGGTATTTTACGCAGGTCGCATCCATCTTGCATTACATCATCGAATGTTATTTCATCCGATTGCTATTTGGTGAATGATACAGGTGCGCCAATCATCTACTGGGTCACACACGACATTGGAAATGCGTCACGAGGTTTTACGTATGCTGCTCAACAGCAGCCGAAGCGAGAAATCCTTTTGAGTCGAGCTAAAGTCCCTCTCGAGTTAGTGACATCGATTTCTCCATCTTTGCGTGCTGAGCAGACAGTCTCCTTCTGTTGGGATGACAACTCTTGGTATCCGCTAACAGATATTCCGATTCGCAATGCTGGCAAGTACATTTATGGGGTCCGGCCTCGGCGTGTTGAAAGACAGATAGAAGAAGCCAGCAAGAAGAAAGAAGATGAGCAAATCATAGTACAACCACAACTGTTGCATATTCTTCTTGATGTATCTGCTGCGTCTGGGTGCCGAACCCTGACAATATCGTCTCTAGTTCGAATTTTCAATGAAACGAATGTTGCGGTCGATTGCGGCATACTTGAATCTGATGGGAAAACTATTACCGACATTGGCACGATTGAACCTAAAGGAGCTTGGAGCGTTCCATTTCGCTACGTCACAAAAATTTGGTCGGTTCGAGTGTTTGTAAAGCCACACCTCAGTCAAAAACATACGCGAGTGATAGGTTCAGGTGAAATCAAATGTCTTGCGGCGCCTCCGTCTATCGACAGAGTGTATCGGTGGAGCAATGAGCTGTTCATTTGCGAAAAAGAAAATAGCACGCTTCACACCGCGACGTGCTCGCTCGTTCTCGACGACTTTACTTGTTCATGCTTAAAGATGATTAAAGGAACAGTGCCATTTAACCCAAGCCAGATATGCAAAGCCAATGGCAGCTACCTCTATGCACAAAGCCGTGTCTTGACTTCGTCAAATGCTAGCAGCCTACAATATGCGCAGCTCAAGCTGATTTCCCCATTGACAGTGGTAAACTATTGTGGAGTACCAATCTTTTTCGTCCTTCTTGCACTTAAACAGGTTCGACGTACGGGAGGAACCTTTGAGGAATTGCATTTGGTGGCATCTGAGGTCATCTCTCCGCGTGGTCGAATAGAAACCCTGTCATCTGCGCTTCAGGGCGAGACATATTGCTCTATTTCAATGACAGGTTCCAGTTGGAGTCGTTTGTTCCGAATACCTGGTGTATTGGACTCATCTGATAACAAAGCAAAAAATGACACTCACGCTGCTGCGTTCAAGGCAATATCATCCTTTCCCTTTAAATTCAGAAGCGAAAGCAAAGACGTCGTGCTGTCCTTGTTAGATTTTCAGTCGAGAACAGCTACTCTTAATGTATCTTTCGACAGGAAGGATACATGCGAGCAAAATGTTGGGCACTACATGAATGTGCAACCACGATTTTTGCTGCGAAACTCTACCTCGCTCCCTCTACTTTTTTCCCCTCAAGTAAAATTAATTGAAAAATTACCTGGAACCAAATCGATGATGGTGCGATTTGCCAAGTCTCCCTTTTCTGCATCTCGAATAAAGCAAAGCAATGAATGTTGTGGTTCAGCCGACATGGAAGCTATTCACGCGAAGTTGAATGCGCTACAAGGTCAAAAATTATCAGAAGACAATATTGATGAGGATGAGCTACAAGCACACTATTATTCAGAGGTGAGTGCAATCATGGTACAAGTGGAAGGGAACGTATTGCGGTCTTCGAGTGCGCAGGATATCAGCCTTGAAACTGGAGCAAATACGGTGCTTCGTGTTTACAATGAGGCAACCAAGCGCTATCATGACCTTGTTGTACTTTTCAGTCAAGTTGGGGGTTCACGATCAATGGAGGTGACATTCGTTGAGCGGTATCTGGTGCTGAACAACACGAATCACCTACTCTTAGCTTCTGCAGTATGCGATATCGCTACTCTGAAGAAAAGCTTGGCGGACGACAATAAAATTCTAGTTGCACCACCGCGATCCTTGTCCGAGTTCAGTTGGACAGCTCATTCTTCTGTACCATCCGATTCGTGCGTTCGTTTAACAATCAAGACCTCGAGTGATAACCAAACTGAAAATTTCCAGTGGAGTGGCAAGTTCTCATTGCACGACGTCAGTGAGACAGCGTTGAAAATTAGCACTCCAGATGCATCGCGTATTTGTGTATTGCGTGTCCAAGTCCGTGTCGAGGCAGCCGTGCAAGTTTGTATCCTCGTTACCGATGAGGACGTCGCTGAGTTTCCGCTGTATCGAATCATTAACTCGTGTGCGCGAGAAACAATATGGTTCAAACAAGCTTTCGATGGCGTGAAGGAAGACGCATCGGCTTTCCAACGCGGTGTAATGCAAAGTTTAGCACCAGGTCAAAGTGTATGCTTTGGCTGGGACGAAGCATTTTTTTTGGGCTCCCCAAACCGAGAGATTAGTGTCTGGTACGCGCCAAACGATGGAACGACGTCGTCTGATTATCACAGCACAATTTTGCTTGATCAACCCGGTGAATCACAGCAAGTCGAGATCCCTTCCATAATCGCTCTTCCAAAGGCACATAGTCGCGTGTACATACGCTGGCATCTTCAGGGAATCACCAAAACGATGGTCGCGCAGGATGCACCACTTAATCGGAAGGAAAAATTGGGTAAGCAGACTCGTCAGCTAGTTGCGGCGCACGGAGAATCCGAGCGAGCTTCTACACCAGGCTTGACTTCGGAGGTAGTTGCCCATTTTCGTCTGCCAAATTTTAGCGTTTCGCTTGCGACCAGCACACCTGATGAGCTTCTTCTCTTCTCGGGTCAAGATGTGGATATAGCGTACGCCAATATTAACAATGACCATGATCAGTGTGAGGTGAAGATCGGGTGCTTTCAGCTTGACAATCAGCTAACTGAAGCGATTTATCCCGTGGTCATTGCACCGATCTTAAAAAAGGGAAGCGGGTGTGCCGGGTTCCGAGATGATGCAGCAGTTCTAGACAAGCCAAAATGTGCGGAAGTTCGAGCTGCGCATGCTGCTGAGCCCTTGTCGCATGATGATGGGAGCGTGGATGGCGCAAAGGCCGACACGAATTCGGGTTTAAGAGGTTCTGCCATCAATCGGCCGCATTTCTTTCACCTATCAATTCTCCGATTAAGCTACGATGCTAATATGGATTATATCAAGTACTTTTCTGCAATGATGCAACCGGCTCGCATTCAAATCGACGAAGCATTCTTACTTGCACTGGCATCATTTGTTGCTGATTGCATTAGTAAGATAGAAAACAATTTTCCACCCAAGCAACGGCGTCTTACCAACGACGCATCAAAGGTGTATTTTAAGTCTTCTGACAAAAGGTTTGAGACAAATTCGGAGCGGAGAATCTATATAGAAACACTGCAACTTCACCCCGTCAAAGTTCAGCTTAGTGTCACAATATTAAATCATTATGGAGACACGGAAGAATCTGTTACAGGGCTAGCTTCGCTAATAAAACTCCCGCTTGCAGTCACGAAAGCGTTACTGAGCTCAACATTTTCCCAGATCGACAGTGCGACGTTGTACCTGAATGCCCTTCATCTTAACCACGCGTTTGCATCAGGATCATTCTTGATGTCAACGGTGCGGCAACACTATATGCTGCAGGGAATGCGTCAAATTTACTCGTTAATTGGTGCTGCCGATATATTTGGCAATCCTGTCGGTCTTGTGACAAACCTTGGTGTTGGAGTGAAGGATTTTTTTTATGAACCTGCCGCAGGTTTGGTCACGTCACCACAAGAATTTATTTTAGGTCTATCCCGCGGAACTACCAGTCTGTTTACTCACTCGCTCTATGGAGCTTTCAATGCTGCCAGTAAGGTCACGGGCACTTTGTCAGAAGGTATCGCAACCTTGTCTTTGGATCGCCAATATCTTGCCAATCGTCGGGCTCAAGGACCTCGCAAACAAGTGGCTACGCACATTGGTACAGGACTGATTCATGGTACAAAGCAGTTTGGTAAAGGTATTTTTGCGGGCGTTACGGGTGTCATCTCTGCGCCAGCTCAAGGCGCGATACATGGTGGCTTCCCAGGATTTATTGAAGGAGTTGGCAAAGGATTGATCGGGGTAGCGGTCAAACCTGCAGCAGGTGTTCTAGACCTCGCAGCCACGACAGCAGCAGGAATTACTGCTACCACTTCGGCACTTGATCGTCGTTCTGGGTTGGGCAAAGAAGTTTACCGCCGACGAGAGCCTCGACTTCTTCGTCTGACCAGCGATCAGCGAATACGCGTGTACACTTCTGCTGAAGCGCTTGTTTCTCGGTTGCTGCTGACATTACCGCTGAAATACAAGCTTCACTTACCCAACGAATTGTACGACACCCACTGCTTCTTACCAAAAGCTCGAATTCTCGTCGCAACATCCTTGCGTCTTCTCTTTCTTCAATTTGGCTCCGAAGGAACATTTGCTACACTGACAACAGCAATCATGTCATCGACATCGATTCCACCACCATTGGTACTTTGGAGTCATTCCTTGTCACAACTGGTGGGTGCACAACGTACGCCAACGGGAATCGCCTTGTATCTGGGTGTGAATGCATTCGATGCCGAATCAAATGACTTGACTGCAACTGTGAAAACTCACGACGACGTTGCAACCTTGACGCTCTCGGGACTAGAGGAATTAGAGACCTTAGGCACTGATCGTGTGCTAGCATTCTTAGTTGACCTGACTAAACGGCATCAAAGAGCTACAGCTACTAGCTACGGCACTGAGTAACCAAATTTATTAATAAATGATCTTTTGAATTGGAGATGTTAACTAGTTATTGTAGATGTTGCAACATGGACAGATACATTAAAAGGATGGATTCACATGACGCACACAACTTGCCAGTGAGCGACAAATCGTAAGTCAAGAATGGAATTTTTCGACGGATTGGTTTGCTGTAAGCTCTTACACTTGTGCGGGAGGGATGTAGCCGTGCTGAGCAGCGTATGATTGGGCCATCTATCGTCACAACACCAACAACAATATAAATACCAACGTGAACAACTCAAAAACTAAAGTCAAACTTGTACCTTTGCCATAAATTCCGGGTGCTCTTCTGCTTCATGAAGTACGAAAGCGCCGGCTTTGGCCGCAATATCTTCATGTTGACGTAGCAACGTCTCGGTTTCTTCGACTGCAGGGCGGTACATAACAGTCGGGTCCATGTTCATATCAAACTTTCCTTCTCGAAATTGCGGGTGATATAGCATGATGAGCAAACTTAAGATAGCGTTTCCACACATGAGAAGGCCGACAAAAAACGACAGCGGGCCTTCCATGCCAAAATCCATGAAGCCCACGATAAAGATAAAGGCAGTGCGGCCACCGTATGTAAACAAAAAGCCAAATTGCAGGCGGATCCACGGTTCCATGTGTTTAAAGCGACATTCAAAGGCTAGCAGCAACAACGCAAAAATACTGCAACGTCACACGACACATTCCGTGACATTGGTTATGAAACAATACGATAACTACAAACGGCACGAACATGGCGTAAAAGGAGATGAGAAAACAGGTGATATCTAGCACAACGAGATTAAAAAGCCCCAAAAAGCCTGCAAGTGCTTGTAAAACCGCTAGCACAACGTTAGCATAACGAAGATAGCGCAGTAAGGTGGCCGCTTCCATCATCTTCATTCTTTAGTAATAAAAAAGTCAATGTATGATGTAATTCAGCGTCATTTTTAGCTAAGACGCACTTTTGCCAGTATGTGGTGGGTGCAGAGAGGCTCGAAAGCGACGTAAAGCTGGCTGTATCCTGCTGACGGATACTGCTTGGATGACTCGAATTATCTAACGCTGCATGTTGAGGGTTTAGCGGTGCACGCAATAATCGTTCCTGCGCTTCGTTCTCGCTCCCAGGGAACATGGTTTTTGCTTTTGAAAGAGTTTATAGTTCTATTGAGTTATATACACGTCTAGCAACACAATATTATTAAGCATGCACTTTCACAAGTTTTACAGTTTTAATTACACATATACACGACCCATGGTCTCTCCATTAAATCCGATAAAGCCCATTAGTCTGTCTACCTATACCTTTCCAAACTTCCACCTTTTCAGCCCTGATGAGCTTTCACAATTCTCAGCTTATTTTTGAATAACCTGCGTCGCACGATACGTAAAGTCCTCAAAGTACTCTCGCTCACGGTCCACCGAATCAAGCATGCGCCATTCAGGTGTGTCCACTGGCACCTGATTGACAAACTCATTATCTACATACTTGGCGTCTGCGTCGTCAATCACGTCCGGTATCCACTCCGGTTCAATCTTTTTTTGCTGCAGCTTCTCCCAATCAATACCTTCAAAAAATTGATGATTCATAATTGAAAATGGCACAGCCTCGTTCGCTCCAAGTCGCTTCGACGGATTTCGTTCAATCAAACCAGAAAGCAGCGACTGGACATCTTCAGGCAACTCAGACGGGATGTACAAAAAGCCCTCAGCAATATTGCGGTACATGATGGCCTTGTTATCATCCTTGAATGGAGTACGACCAACGTACATCTCAAATATTAGAATCCCCAGGCTCCACCAGTCACAAGTTTTATCATAAACTGCTGGCGCTTCACCATTTTTTGGGTTCGCGGCTGCCAGCACCTCAGGTGAAATGTATTCCGGCGAGCCAGCCAGCGAGTGAGCCTTCTTATCACTATCATCGCGTGTGTACGTTGATAGACCAAAGTCTACAAGTACAATGTGACCATCCTTCTGGATCAAAACATTCTCCGGTTTGAGATCGCGATAGATAATATCAAGACTGTGCAAATGTGCCAATCCCGCCACCAACTCAGCCGCGTATAACCTGATCCGTTCAGACGTAAACTTAACCTCATTATTTTGATTCATCGTACAGTGATGACGTAAATCGCCGCCATTGTAAAACTCCATTCCCATGTACACTTTGTCTTCATTTTGAAAGGCAAATAGTAGCGATGCCACAAATGGATGGCGCACTTCACGCAACATATCGCGCTCAATTTTAGCGTTTCGTCGCATATTTTCGTCCATGCCAATTTTCGTAATGATTTTAATGGCATACACTTTTCCATCCGGACCACGAGCTGATACAACTCGACCGTACGTTCCAGTACCCAACACTCGAAGTAGCTCAAAGTCGTCTATCTTCAGTGTCGATTTTGATTTGCCTCGGTTGGAAGCATCAGAAGACACTGGAGCCGTCACTCCTGATCCTACCGCGACACGCGACGCACCAAGTCCATTCTCTTCTTCGTTACAAACAGACATGGTCGGCATTGTCCGAGTGATAACCTCTTCCTCTGTGTCTTCGATTTCTTCAGCTTCGCCTGAAAGAATCAAGTCCCGTTGGCGAACTGCTTGTTCCTGAATCGTTGCGTCGAAATGATCGACCAGAAATCGGTAGTATTTCCAGGTACTATTGGTAAATCTTCTATCGCCAGACACGTGCATTAGAATGCCATTCCGAAGAAGCGCTGTGCCTAAAAGCAAGGCCTCTTCAGCCGTCGAGCATGTAATCCCCCCCTGCATTGGACGATTTAATCCATGGCAAAGCATCCACTCAACTGCTTCTTTGCCAGTGATGACATTTGGATGAGGTTTGAGGTACAAACTACGGTCTTTAGCCGGTAACTCGTGCCTCATTTGTTCAGCAGCGGTCCATAATTGCCATAAAGAAGGTTCGCGCATGATGCGACTGGAAATACGTACTTTACCTTGTACCCGTTTCATTTTGCCACCAGGTCGCAACTGCAAATCATACCATGCCACTCGTTCTTCACCACTCGTGTTCATATCTTCGAGACTTAGCAGCAATCGTCCCAAATCTTCATTCTCTACTCGTCCTTTGTCTTTGCATTTGACAAGGACGTACTTAGCGTTCATTAAGTTCGTTTGAATGCCAAAAGTATATTCCTCTGAAGCAGCAGCAGCACCAATGCCCAGAGGTTGGTGCGAGTCCACCTTGCTCTCAAGTGAAAGCAACACTGCAGCTTTCAGCGGACTCCATACCGGATTTGCTTGACGCATGGGGGGCGTGCGCTGTTTCTCACCCTTGATTTCGCGCTTGTTTTCGTCCAATAGCACTAGCGTGCAGTAAGCGTTGCGACCGCGACCGGACTCAGACGGGACGAGATCCCATGCTTCAATAGGTGTGACTTTGAGTAAGTATCGTCGTTTCGATTTGATCCGCATTTTGCCATTCGAAGGCTGGCTTTGACTTGTGGTGCCTAGCAGAAGGCAAAAGAGGTGAGGGAGGACACGTGTTGCCACTTTGACAGGAAGTGGTGCACGTCATGACGTACGCGATGGTGGTCTTCGATTCGACATGGCAAGAGTGATTGTCAACGTAAAGAGAAAAAGGTTGTCCAGGAAGTCAGGTCTTGTGCAATTGTCTTCGTTGCGTTTGGAATACAGTGCGGCAGGGGAACCTGTCAGATGAACTGTTAAATGATGTGGAATTACACTATTTATGAAATAATACATTTTATCTATTAATATTTGGTCCTCGGATTTGATACCACATTACGACACTACAGCATATGCTTAAGGCGAGAAATCCTTATGAAGCTGCCAAGCTTTGCATACTACACTGAATATATCGCTTTGAAAAGGACAATTTCGTGCTGAGAGTCAGATATCCATCGGTACAGTAAAAAAATGTGATGTGTACACACCGAAATAATAAAGAAAGTAAAATTTCGCTTCGTCACTCTCAGTAATTTTTCGTTATTTACGAAATTTATGGTGTCTGTTGTATCCTTCAATGGCATTGATGTGTCCGCGCTGGACGAGCGCAAGTACGAGACCTTCACTTTAAGCAACAATTTGCAGGTATTGATCGTTTCTGATCCCAAGACAGAAAAATCCGCGGCCGCCATGGATGTGCACGTGGGTCACCAAAGCGATCCTGAGGACCTTCCGGGTCTTGCGCACTTCTTGGAGCACATGCTATTTCTTGGTACCGCCAAATATCCAGACGAGAACAGCTACAAGAAGTTTTTAAGCGCCCATAGTGGTCGTAGCAATGCGTCTACGTCTCAAATGCACACAAATTTCTACTTTGACGTGCTGAGTGACCATTTACACGAGGCTTTAGATCGTTTTGCTCAATTTTTCATCGCCCCATTGTTCACACCTGCTGCCACACAGCGAGAAATGAATGCCGTGAATTCTGAAAATGCCAAGAACTTGCAGAATGATCACCGACGATTGTACCAATTGCAGAAATCGCTATCGAATCCGAGCCATCCATACCACAAATTTGGCACGGGGAATCGAGAGACTCTGGGTACAATTCCAAGTGAAAAAGGAGTGGATGTCCGTGCGGCATTGCTAGAGTTTCATACGACATACTATTCAGCCAGTATCATGAAACTTGTGATCTATGGTAAGGAGAGTTTGGCGACATTAAAAAGTTGGGCTGAGCAATTGTTTGCCGACATCAAAAACACGGGACGGAGTTTTCCGACCTTTGGGGAGGCTGTTCCCTTTGATGATTCAAGACTCGCTAGAGTGGTGCACGTGGCACCCGTTAAAGACCTCCGTGTCATTGATATTTCATGGCCTCTGCCTTCACTCTATCAAGACTTTATGACAAAACCCACTAAAATCTTATCGCATCTTATGGGTCATGAAGGTCCAGGCTCCATTTTAAGTTTTTTAAAAGAACAAAAATGGGGGAATGGGTTATCTGCGGGACTCTTTCGCGATCACGAAGATTGGGCGTTATTTGGTGTCAAAGTAGACGTGACAAATGCTGGTATCGAACATGTAAATGAGATTGTTGAAGTAGTGTATCAATATCTTCAAATCTTACGGGAAGAAACTCCATTCGAACCATGGATCTTTCACGAGACTCAGAACTTGGCGCTACAAAGCTTTCGTTTCAAAAGCAAAGAGAATCCTATCAATTACACGAGTCATTTAGCAAATGTCATGCACCGCTTTCCACCCAAACTTATTCTCTCGGGTGATTATCTCTTGTACGAGTATGATGGCAACAAGGTTCAGAAGGTGCTTGATCTTTTGATTCCGGATCGAATGCTTCTTACAATCATTAGTAAGACTTTTGAAGGCAAGACCCAAAGTCTAGAAAAGTGGTATCACACACCGTACTCAGACAGTCCAATAGCTTTTGAGTTGTTGCAACGCTGGACGTCACCTCCACCGAATTTGAAACTTAATTTGCCTCACCGCAATGAGTTTATTTGCAGCGATTTTTCTATTGTAACTCCCTCGCGTTCGTCTCCTGCTGTCGTAAACGGTGAGGAAGGGTGCAACGCGTGTCCGATATTACTGCAACACGATGAACATTGCCGTCTGTGGTATCAACCAGACATGTACTTTCGCAAGCCCAAGATGCTGTTCCACTTCCTCTTTTATTCACCGTCACTCTCAAATACTCCCTTTCACACTGTGCTCACGAGTTTATTCGTGCGATATTTAAAGGACAAGCTTACTGAAGTATCATATGATGCCGAACTTGCAGGAATGGAGTACGAAATTGGGTTTAATTCACGTGCATTGGAGCTGCATTTGGGCGGATTTTCGCACAAGCTACCCGTTTTATTATGCAAGGTATTGCAGCAAATGATAGACATGACAGAAACCACGTACGAATACGAAGAAGCAGTGTTTGATCGCGTGAAAGACCGAACGAAGCGCATGTATGAGAACTTTTTTCTTGAAGAACCGTACCAACGTGCTGTTCATGTAGGGAGCCAGCTACTGGAGCTCTCGAAGTGGAGCGTGGATGATAAAATCCAAGCCATTCACCACGTCAAATTGTCTGATTTGGCTGCCCATAGTCACTTTATCTTCCACCAAGTCTTTGTTGAGGGCTTCATGTATGGCAATCTACGCCAAAGCACAGCGCTTGATCTGATGCAAAAAGTACTACTATCTTTTGGCTTTGACTCGAGCGAACAAACAAAAAGGCAGAGCTTTCCGCTCTATTCGAGCCAAGAGATAAAGCCACGGATAGTTCGACTTGCAGATGCAAGCGAATATCGATATCAACGTCGCGCGTGGAACGATGCGAACGTAAATTCGGCCATCTGTATACTGCACCAGATTGATTGTGAAGTCGAAGGCAGTACAATGGCGCTTCGTGCTCGTCTCGAGCTCTTTGCACATATTTTAAAAGAACCATGTTTTAATCAGCTTCGAACCAAAGAGCAGCTTGGCTATCTCGTATTCTCTGGTATCTTACGTACGGAAGGTGTCGAATATTTGCGTATTCTTATTCAATCGGATGTGGCATCGCCACAGGTTCTAGATCAACGCATCGAGTCGTTTTTAGCACAATTTCGCTCGATTCTGGTTAAAATGTCGTCTTTCACGTGGCAGAAACAAGTGAATGCTGTCGTTAAAGCTCTTACAGAAAAGCCAAAGCACGAGATGGAGGAAGCTACGCGTGCGTGGCGTGAGATTGCTAATGAAACGTTTGTGTTTGACCGACGTCAACGCGTGGCTGCAATCGTGTCAACACTACAGCCACGCGATCTTGTATCATTCTTTGACTTATTCATTGCTGTCGACGGTAAGCGACGGAGCAAACTTTGTATCAGTCTATATGGTTCCAAGCATCCACTTATTAAGCTTTTGGGGGATAAAAGAGTCAGCGAAAAAATGTCAATCGTCACGTCCACAGGTTTGACTGCAGCGATACTGTTACAGCAGCAGATGAAGGGTGAAAAGATCAGAGGCGTTCACGTGATTGACAACATAGAAGCATTTAAACAACAAATGCCACTGTTTCCCGAGCGTAAGACGAAGAAACATGCGATAGATTCGACATGACTTGATTAGTGATGGTGCCGTTTTTACGGCGTTTTCAGTTTTTATTGGACACCGCCATCTGCTTCCTATGTAAGCATCGTTAAGCATCTAAAACATTCTAGAGTGGTATGTTAAGTCTGGAGAAATTGTGCATTTGAAACTATAAATTGATAAGCACAGTAAAACCTGTCTAAACTAAACATGTTGGGACTGGGGGACAGTGTTTTATTTAGAAAGGGTTTTAAATAAGGGAGGGTAGCATAATTATCAAAAATTCCCTGGGTATATGTAAACAACACCATTCCCAAAGAGCCCTACACGTGTTTTTTCTTGACTAAC